TTTGTTAATTTAATAAAAACACATCAGAATTCAAACAAATACAAAACTGAAAAAAAAAGATCACTTTTGATCATTCCAACATGGGAAGGAACTTTTGAGACCCACACGGCAAACAATGCGGAAGCTTCACATTAACAAATAACATGTAAATAATAAATGGAGCTTTTTCTGTGAGCTGGTGTAACTTAGGTATTCATAACTGATGGCAGAGGTCTAACGGAGTAGTAGTGGTATTAGTGCATATGCAGACGTGATATGAATACACATCAGATCGTGTGAAACTGTATTTGCCTACTTAAACATTATAAGAGTGATACATGTTTAATAATAAGCAAGTAGTGCCTTTTCAACTGTCCCGTCTCATTTTGTGCTCTAAACAGTGAACCGACATGATTCAATAGCAAGCTAGCTTTGAAAGCATAAGATCCCACCCTCTCTGCAAATCACTCTTCAAAGCCACGCCTCCTGCAAAACACATGACCGCGCACCGGCAGAGCAGAGGCTAACCAGCGACACGATGAGAGACGGCGTTGATGGAGGATTGAATGCAACCAGGGCTCTACGCTTATTTTTCTTTTTAGGAGCACTTGTGCTCCTAACTTAAAAAATTTAGGAGCACAGTAAAAAATTTAGGAGCACCTTCTAATCAATAATCCAAAATTTTATCAAAAATTTGGCACTGGTGCTCCTAAATATGTTTTCATAGTCGCACGCAGTAGTTTTCAGTCGCAAATGCAACTAAAATGGTCGCACTGTAGAGCCCTGGCAACGCTGTCAGATTAGCTCATGTCTCATTCATCGGTGAGAAAACATTACAGTACAAAGCTCTTAATATTACAATAATAACGCCTTCCATTCTCACTCGGTCTGCAATAGCGTAATGAACGCGCTGATGACGTATTAAAATATGCAAATACATACGTTGACAGGGAGTTAGGACAGCCTATCGTAATCCTCGGACAGAGAAATATGATTGGAACGAACATTTTATGGTCCCACACCTACCACAGATGATATAAAAATACATAAATACATTTAGACCTATTAACTTAGTGATTGATATCGGGATGTGAAGTGACACGTCTTAAAAGTACTCAAATATTAGTCTTAAGTGAAAGTACAGAAACTGAGTGAAAATTTTACTCAATTAAAATAATCTTGGCCAAAGACATACATGAGTGGGATTAAAAAAAATACAACTTTAAATTGTACTTGAGTATTTAAAAAAAAATATCGTTCGGTGTGTGTAAGGAAAAGACTTGAGGGTGAGCAAATGTTGTGCATTCAGCAAATATACTACACAGGCAGTTATTGGCTATAACAAAACTAACAAAAATAATCAATAGACTTTTATAGGAAAAAGCAACTTTGCTAGCTCAGTATGCTTCCTCAGATTTGATTACCAACTTTTGATGTTTGAAGCCAGAAATTTCCCTGATGAAAGTTACAACTGAAGCTCAGCCGTGTGTGTTTGACGCGTGAAGACAACCCTCATTGGTAAAAAAAATACAACTTTAAATTGTACTTGAGTATTTAAAAAAAAAAATCAGATGATTCTTCTTTCATCATATTGAATCATCTTCTCAATGCAAAATGTTTTGTCAGACACATGTATATGAGACTTCTACTTCAAATGAACACAGAAAGATTTTTAGAAAGAATAATCCATCTGTACGGATATAATGCACTGTACAGGACGTCCCAAGATGACACCTTAAAAACTGAACACATGAACACGACGGTAACCCATACAACCCCTGTTAATGAATCAGTGTCGTCTTAGCGAAACGATCGGTGTGTGTAAGGAAAAGACTTGAGGGTGAGCAAATGTTGTGCATTCAGCAAATATACTACACAGGCAGTTATTGGCTATAACAAAACTAACAAAAATAATCAATAGACTTTTATAGGAAAAAGCAACTTTGCTAGCTCAGTATGCTTCCTCAGATTTGATTACCAACTTTTGATGTTTGAAGCCAGAAATTTCCCTGATGAAAGTTACAACTGAAGCTCAGCCGTGTGTGTTTGACGCGTGAAGACAACCCTCATTGGTTCTTGCACCTTTGAGCTTCCGTTTACCACATTTAATGTGTGTAAGAAAAAATAAAAATGTAACGAGTACTTTTCAAGTTGAAATCCCCCAAAACAATACTTAAGTACAGTGATCCAGTAAAATTACTTTAGTCTTTTACACCCCTGCAAACACTTGTAAAATGAGTAACAGCAAAGACACTTAGACTGCAGGTTGGCTTATATTATTTGCACTGTCCCATGCAACTCATATACGTGCAACTGAACAAATGCACAAAGCATTAAATCATTATACTGTAGGTGTCATCTCTGTGTTTTTCTAACAACAAAGTAGTAAACTGAATTAAAAAGAACATTTCTCTTTGCTTTTACACTGTCTGTCTCTGGCCTTGTAAATGGACTCTGACCTGTTTTTAAACACTTGAAGGCACGATTGAAATGTTTACACACATTTTTAATCAAATTCTCAAAAACTAAACAGCTTTTTTAAGCTGTAAAACTTGAACATTTAACATATAAGGGAGACTTTTTGTATTCATGAGAGAAATAACATTCCAAAAATTGTCCTTAAAGTAAAGCAAACAGTTATTGTGCAAAGTGGTATAGCATTTCTGTCCCAATTTATCTTGACATGTGAGGTGTCCCTGGCCTTGTAAGTGGACTCAAATCTCGTATTTATTTGTCTGAAAGTATAACAAGGAAATATATTCTGAATAATGCTAATAAGCGAACCTACTTTCATATTATTAATATGTAATATAAAGTGAATTGCATCAGATGGCATTCACATGGAGAGTTTGCAAATATATATATATATATATATAAAGGGCACTTACTCAAGAAGAATTCAAGAAGAGTGTGTTGTTGTTTCTAATCAGCAGCATTACCTGTCAAAGGCTAATCTGAGATCTTGTACACTCTTAAAAATAAAGGTTATTTATTGGCATCTTTTGTTCCAAAATAACCTTTAACATCCATGGAACCTTTCCATTGTGCAAAAGGTTCTTTATAGTGGAAAAAGTTTTTTTTTTTTTTTTTTATTATAAATGTTCTTCAAACTGAAAATGGTTATTTTAAGAATTGTTTACTGAAAGGTTCTTTGGGTAACCAAAAATTTTTCTTTTGGAACCTGGTTTTTAAGATTTTAAGAGTTGTTCACTTAAAATGGTTCTTCTTATGGTTCATTGCTGCACAACCCTCCTTTTGGAACCTTTATTTTTAAGAGTGCAGTGGCTGGTAGAGAAGGCCAATTTACATTACACTCAATACTTGTATTTGGCTAGTGGCAGTTTTCCAATTTCTGTCCAATTTTTAATTGTCCAGTCTTTTTTTTCTGAGTTAAAACTAATGTACTGTTTGTTTTCATAACACACTGAATACTTCTAAGATTAAGGAAAATTTGATTTGTCTAAAATGAAAATCAAATTGTCTCTTCAATTTGATTTGACCCCTAAGATTAATTAAAGGGGTAGTTCACCGAAAATTAAAAATTCCAAACCTATATAAGTTTCTCTCTTCTGCTGAACACACAAGAAGATATTTTGAAGAATGTTGGTATCCAAATATTTGCTGGTTGCCATTGACTTCCATAGTATGAAAAAAAACAAAACAAAACAAAAAACTATGGAAGTCAATGGCTATCAGCAACTGTTTGGTTATCAACATTTTCAAAATATCTACTTTTGAGTTCAACAGAAGAAAGAAATTCGTACAGGTTTGGAACAACTTGAGGTTGAGTAAATTATTCCAGAATTTTCACTTTTGGGTGAGCTATCCCTTTAATTCAGAACTGTACAAATTATTTTGAGGTGCATACAATGAACCTCAAATGTATATACTGATATTTTTTTAAGTGAATAAATAGCAATTATGTCAGACTGTGCTCAGTCGACTTGCCAGATATGAAGAGATCCACCCAAGCTTGCTGGTGCTCTTGCATCAATTCTTCCACATTGGCTCGGAGGACATCCACCATCTCTCTCTTGACTCCTTCTCTGAGCTTACTGAGGGTCTCGTCCAGTTTCCCGCCCTCGGTGGGCTCCGAGGGGTGAATCACGCTCACCACGTTTTCTGAGTATTCAGATTTG